TGGTGGGAGCTGTCTAGTGACAGTGTGGTTTTTTTTTTAAATATTTATAATAACTATTATAATTTTTTACAATATCAAATTAATCTTTAAGAGCTTCACAACAACTACTCAATAAGATGCATCTGTCCCAAACGGAAAAATTTACTGACTCAGGACTGCAAGTTGAGTTGCATGGGGAGTCTAATGAGAGGAGTCCAAGTGGAACTGGGTCCCACTTTGCATAAAAATTCAAAAAACGCTTAATTAATGTGACCCAGCTCGAATCTAGCCCGTCGAAATGCCGAAATAGACAAAAAGTCACTTTATGGTAGATTTGGTCACTACATTTTTGTTCTTCGGCGGTTTTGGAGTGTTTCTTCTTCTTCTTTGACGGTTCAGACGCTCTTCCCCCTTTGGCTTCTTCATCTTCTTCGGGCTTCTCAATTCAGACGACAGTTTTGCTTGGGCTACGACTCTTTGGTTTCAACTCTTGGAAACGAAATGTCAGTTTCGCAATGCGCAATGTTTATAAGTCTTGGGGTTTTGTTGTTCGACAACAACAAGTCATTTGTTTTCCTTCTCTTTTCAGCACACAACAATGGAAGATCGCAACGGTACTGAAGAAGAAGCTAGCGATCTTCTGAAGTCGTTGAGGTAATATGCTACAATGTTCGTTTTAGAGAAAAAGTTGATTTATTTTATTGCAATAGGGTTATATTATAATTGTGTTATTAGTATGTAATTGTTGTGTTATGCTCCTCTTATGGTTATGTGATGTGTTATAATTGTGTTTGTGTTATAGTTGTATTATAGATGGGTTATTGTGTGTTACATTGTTGTGTGATTGTGTTATAGTTGTATTATAGAAGTGTTATTGTGTGTTATTGTTATGTTATGTTGTTATAATTGTGTTATAAATGTGTTATAGTTGTGTTATTGTGTGTTATTGTGTGTTATTGTGTTATAGCTAGCTATTGAAGTATTATGGTTGTGTTGTTGTTCTGTACTTTTATTATTGTTGTATTATTGTGTTATTGTGTGTTATTGTTGTGTTATTGCGGTGTTACTTATGTTATAACCCTACTAACACCACAATAGTATCAATCACACTTGTATAACATGAAATAATGCAACAATAACGCAACAATAGCACCACCACAACACATCAATAACACAATCATAACACAACCATAACACAATCATAACATGACCTTTAATTATTATTATGTTATTGTTGTATTATTGTAGTATATTGAGATGATATTGGGATGAGTGGAGGTGCTAAATAGGTGGTATTCAAAATGAAACATTTAATTACCAATCATAACATCGAAGCATTTATAGAAACATTTAATTACCAATCAGTCATTTAATCAAATAAATCACTGAAACATTTCGTAAAATGATTACATTAAACAATTACCAAAATTAATGAGTCATATGAAAATGTCGGAACTATTACTGAAATATATTAACTAAATAATATTAGTAATATATATCACTTATTGAATCCATCAACAATCTTGTATATCCTTTTGTTGGTTGAGATGCATCATATTCTTACAATAATGAAGAAATTAAAAGTGAAATAAAAATCAAATGCTAATGCTATATCAAATTACCTGACTGAGACAATCTGACAATTCAATTAAATTTGTCTCAGAAGGAATATCAGGATTTTGGCTTGTTAATGCTTCTTGCTCTTTTCCTAAATGCAGTGGTTTAGGTTAGAGAAAATCAATAATGCATAGATTAAAATAGTGCAGCTTATTGAAATATAAACTTTTTGGTCTCTTACTTTTCTCCCAATACCCTTTCAACCTAGATGCAGAAACTCATTTTAACCTCATCTTTGCAGGGTCATTTAAATTGAATTGGGTATTTTGTATTTTTCTATTTTTTGTTTGAGTTGGTTTTCAAGCTGGTGCGTCATCAAGATCTCCAGAAAAATGCTTAAATGATTCCCACAACATCTGCTCAGTTGTTTCATTTTTTTGTGCTTTATTAATGAGTTGGTATGCAAACTTGTGGGCCTGTGAGCGAAATAGTGTACCATTTGCAGAACTAGTGTTCGTTTGGGATTCCTTCATTTATTCATAGTCAAAGTTGTTATACAGGTTCCTTTTAGCCTCAACAAACCATCGTTTTAACAAAAAATTTTTGGGAATTTGCTTTATTTGAGCCACATTAAGCACATAAAGAGAGTGAGAATATAATAACCCCATCATTTCAAAATTTTTGCAACTGCAAGTGATATCAAAATTGACTTTGCCAAGTTTCACAATCCAGTACTTGTTTGTCCCTTGGGTATCCAAATTCCTTACATAATATTACTAGTCACTATTTGGAAAGCATTCAATTGTAAGTCCACATAGACTATCCAATAGCTCTTGCTGGAACTTTGAGTAAATTTTTCTCGAATAAAATGTGGCAGCTTTCCTCAAGATTGGGTTGCCTTTAACCACAGACGTAGTGACCGATAGATCACTTTTGAAATATTCATCCTTCTCATTTCGACGCCATGATTTCATTATATTTTTGAGACCAACGAAGCAATCAACGAGAGAGCTAGTGGGCTTTGTAACGCCGTGGAAACTATTATTTGTTGACTCACTTCTTTATGTTGATAATATTCTTATGCCAAATATTTCTTTATTGAATGTCATTGATCATTTATGTCTGATCTTGTACATGTTGTTGTATAGGTTCCCCTTCTCAATTATTGTGGCCAAAGTTTCTTTGAAATCCTCTTCAGAATCACACTTGCTGATGCATTTGTAGAAGAGATCGCCCACACTTTTGACATTAACAATAAAATGAACTTTTGAAGAAAATTTCTTGTATATATGCCATTGACATAATCTATGTCGTGTTTGTGGAAGACAAATTTTAATAACTCTCGCCATTGCTTGATCCTGATTCGTGAAAATTGTCGTTGGATGCTTGTCACCCATTATTCAGATAAATGCTTTGAATAACAAAATGAAGGAATCAATGGTCTCATCAGGCAAAAAACCCACTCCAAAGAGGATGTTTTGTCAATGGCGGTTCACCCTCACGAAAGGAGCGCAACATAAATTGTACTTATTTAATCTAAAGCTTGCATCAAATATTATTACATCCCCAAAGCAATCATAATCAAACATGGATAACCCGTTGTTCCAAATAAAACTTGTGAGTCTTCCACACTCATCAGTTTCAAAATCCCAAACAAACATGGTATCCGCAGCTTGCCTCTCTATGAATAACTGAATTAGAGAATTAACATCTCCTTGTTCTATTCTTTTCATTCTCTCTCTTTGAATAAAATTGTATGCATCTCTCTCTGTGCATTCAAGGTTCTCCACCCCCAAACCTCTGTAGTCATAAAGTTATATGCATCTATTGCTCTGATCCGTGATCCTGTCATTAATCTCAACAAATCTGCATTTAACTCACTTTTCTTTCTGCTCGAACACAGAAGCTGCTTATCACCACTTTCGACAAGAGGGTGATTATGATTTTCAATGAATTTCTTCACTGTCCAATTTTCTTCAACATCAATGACATATCTAACCATGACTTGACATCCAGTCCTCGTGTCAACTTTTCTGAACTTAACAGTATTTGTCGGGTTTGACTCCTTGTGGCCAACATTTCTGCAAATAAAATATTTGGTTTTAATCTTCTTAGAGTTTGGCCAATAACTGTTATGGTTCTTCATAACAGAAAATCCTACATGATGAGCATAGACACAATAGCTTTCATATGCTTCTTGTTCATTGTGGAGACAGGTGCGAAGAAACGTCTCTGCGATTGGATCATTGCACGCATTTCTACACTGCACATTACCACACCAATTTAACGATCGTTAGATAGATATATCACAATAATAAAAAAAAATAACACAACAACAAAAAAATACACAACAATAACACGTCAATAATACAACTAAAATACAATAATATTCCTACCACAACACAACAATAATACCACTAGAACAATACAATCCCTGGACTCTAAACCATAACAATAATACCATAACAACATTAGAAAACTAAACACTAACATCACATAACACTTCAATAAGATGAGAATAACAAATTAGTAATGTAACAATAATACAATTATAACACTACTAAAACAAATACAAATTTCTAACCAATCACACAACTAGAACAATACAATCCCTATACACTAAACCATAATAATAATACTACAATAACACTAGAAAAACTAAACAATAACAACACATAACACCTCAATAAGATGAGAATAACACATTAATAATACAACAACAATACAATTATAACACTACTAAAACAATACAAATTTATAAACATGCACACCACTAGAACATTACAATCCCTAGACCCTAAGCCATAACATTAAAAATGCAATAACACCCGAAAAACTAAACAATAACATCACATAACACAACAATAACACGACAATAATATAATATTATTATGATAATAATAAAACAATAACACAACTAGGACAACACAATCCATCAACCCTAAACCATAACACCATAATACCAAATCATAAACCCTACAAACACCTAACAAAAATCAGCTAAACCAACATAATAGAGCAATGCAAAACTCAAATCTAAATAAAACTAAAGTAAACTCACTTCCAATTGAAGCTGGCTGCCATTATTTCCCGATTCCATGAACAATATTTATTTGTGTACAGAGAAACTGATCGCACCAGCTTGGAACCCAGCGTAGAGAAAACCCAAAGCAACAAAATCCCCTTTTCTAGACTGGAGGAAGCACAAAAAAACGACAAAAGACTTTCGGCGAGATTAACATCATACATAAAGTCACTTTTTTCGCTTCTTGGACTGGACTCGGGTTTCAGTCGGGTCGGGCCGCGTGCTCTTAATTCATTTATTTTATGTTTTGTTTCTGATTGGCCCCCCGATTCCACACGGCGAACATGAATTGGACTTCGCTCTGGATGTAATAAGCACTCTACAAACGGAGGCTTAATAAACCTAAAAAATTACTTGCACTAAGTCCAAATTTCCCAATATGCTGATGTCCTATGGTCACGGGGGAGAGAGGCAAACGGTCTGAACCGGACAATTCCGGTCTATTCATGATGTCGAACAGGGCGGCATGCCGCTCGCGGCGACTCTGTCAGATTGTTATTACTGGGAGTGAGGGGACAGCGTTGCAGCAGATCCACCGGAACAGTACTCCCTTCCTTCCCCGGCCGCGAATTGATCGACCGTCTCCCCCGCTGGAAACCCTAGGAAACAGAACTTGTAATCTATCCCGAAAGCTATTCCATCAGATTCACCGCTGGCGTTTGATTCGGCAATCATAAACCCTTCTCGATCATCTCTGCATCAGGAGGTTCTGCGAGCGAATTTTCGTCTAAAGATGCGAACTACCTCCGGCGTCCGTAATTCAGGATTTCATTTTATAGCATGAAGGAGACGAGACGCGTTGTTGCTGATACGGTAGAAGCGCTGTCTGCGGATCTCCTACGTTCTGATGGCGTCGCCCGTCAAGTTTCTCTTTGCATTTCTTTTCGTCTCCGCGGTTGGATGGATCGTCTTCACGTAAGACAGAACCACCATTTTTTCCTCTCGATTTGCGTCAGCCGAATTTGTATTGGTACCAATTTCTCGTACAGATATAGTACATGTGCCTTGTTTCTGTTTATCATAATAAAATTTATCCTTAAATTGACCGGAAAACCTTGGTGCGCCCATCTTTTGATGGTTTGCCAATGTTGGAGTTTCCATTAGTCCGGAGCTTAAGTGACAACCAATGAGAGTTGAACGCTAGATCTGTTTCCCCAGTGATGTTAGTGGCGTTTCTGTGTCTTCAACGAAACCTCAGCTGTCGTTTTTGGGTTTCTTGATTTGGTAATTCATATTATAGATGGTTTGCACAAGAGAATAAGTATGTTTATATATGGAACCATGAAATTTAAAACAATGCAAGGATTTATTGCCATCCTGGTGTTTGCATTTTGTTTTAACCTCTTCATGCTACTCACTACCTTTCAATTGAAATCATTTGCATCAACTCTTCCAATTTGAGGTAATCGTTTCATCAAATTGGATGTGCAAAATTTCTACTCACAAAGGAGGTGCTACATGTTGATTTTTAGAAGGAAATACATTTTGCATAAATCCTCGCCATTACATCCTACATATTTAATTTTAGCTTTATAACTCTCTTTCTTTATAGATGCCCGTGACAAATGCAAGAATGATGATATAGATTACAATGAAAAATGTAGTAAACCTTGGTATAAAGACTTTTCTAGATTTAGAACCTATGAATTTTTTCCTCACAATCTAGAGTTTCTTGGGAGGCAACCCAGGAGAGAAAGGAGCCATCCAACATAAAATCAGATAGAAAAATCAATTTTTTTGTCAACTCAATAATCCGTCTATTGTTCTCTGATTTAAATGTTTAATATCTTATTTTGGGTGGCAAATTTTTGAAGATAGTTTGGGAAATACAAGATTAATCACACCTAAAAAAAAGTACAGTCCACAATAACCTACATTAGATGGACTATTAAAATAGCATGGATGCTACATAAAATAAAACAACACTCAAACTTGAACATGACTAATGACCCAAGAACTTCAAAATCCTATTAATTGTATGTAGTCAGATAACCCGGGGTGCGAAAATCCTATCATGTAGAGTTGAAATACCTATTGACTTTGGAGAAAAAGTAGCATTTTTATTGATTATAAAAAGAAATCTCCAACATTCTTTAATGGAACATTAGAATTGATACATCTCTAGTTTAAAAAATACTATGGATTTCATTTTTCCTTTTCTCCTTTTGGAGGGCTCATGTTTAGTAATTGGGCTAGGCTAGGTTGATTGGATGAAGTTATGGTTTTGAGAATCCTAATGGATGACATTAGACATAAATGATAGTAATTAAATAACTATTGTTTTTTAAATTAAGAAAGATGCTCACAATTTACCTAAGAGTATACATGAGATAAATGATAGGCGACACTATCACTAAGTACAATTTCTTTTCGTTTCCGCTAGTTATTTTTAATAATATGGAGATCTAATTTCTTTTGTTGACTTTGTGGTTCTTTGGTAAGTGCACTACTCACATATAGGGTATATTAATCTCACAATCGATAAATACCTCACATTTCACACTGTACAATTAATATCTCTAGATCTTGAAAGCAAACACTACAACAACTAACTCCAAGTCATGCGTTGGATAGTTCCTCTCATGAGATTTTAACTGTTCAAATGTATAAGTTATCATCTTTTATTTTGCATTAACACACATCCCAAGCCTTGAAATGACATTTCAATGTAAATTTGGAACCCTTCGGTACCCGACGAAATAGCTAACATTGAAGCAGTGGTCAAATATTTTCTTCAATTCTTGAAAAATATGCTCACATTCTGCATTCCACTCAAATTGTACGTTTTCCCTCACCAACTTTGACAATGACATAACTATCTGTGAAAAGCCCTTTACGAACCTTTTGTAATGTCCAACCAAACCAAGAGAATTGCGTATTTTCATAACATTCTTTTGTGTAGGTTATTTCACAATTGCCTTCATCTTTCGAGTATCTACTGAGATTTCTTAATCGCTAGTAATATGCCTCAAGAATGTAACAATTTGCAGCAAAATTCACATTTCGATAATTTTACATGTAACTGATTTTGCTTCAACAACTCTAATACTATTCTCAGATGCTTAGCATGATCGTTGTCATTTTTTGAATATATAAAGCCAAAAACTGATCCACAAGAGGTTTAAAAATTCGATTCACGAGGTCCATAAATACAACACAAGCATTGTTAAGCCAAAAGGCATAACCAAGAATTCATAATAATCATACCTAGTCTCAAATATTGTTTTAGTTATATATGCTTCTTTGATTCTGACCAGATGATATCCCGATTTTAAAACAATTAAAAAAAATATAGTAGCACTCTTTAACTAATCAAATAGATGATCGATCATGGGTAAATATTATTTGTTGTTCTTGGTTGTCATTTTGTCAAACTCTCTATAATCAATGCACAACCGCATCGATCTGTCTTTCTTTTTAACAAACAATACTGGTGCACTCCAATGTGAATTATTTGATATGATAAAACCCTCTAATAGTTTCTTTAACTGACATTTTAGTTCCTGCAATTCCTTCGAAGTCATCCTATAAGGAGGCTTGAAAATTGTAGATGTCCTTGGCTACACATTAATGTCAAACTCAACTTCTTATTATGGTGGTAGCCCTGACAATTCTTTTAGAAGTACATAAAAAAATATTCAACAACTGGAATGCTTTTCAATTTCCGCATATCTTTATTCAACACATCTAATTTGGCCAAAAATTTTAGTTCACCGCTTCATAAATACTTTCCAACTTTCACCACACTAACCAGAAAAGATTGTGCATTTCGATCACATTAGATATAGAATGACTTTCACAGGACAATTTGAGATTTAATCTCCTTTTTCAACATTCAATTGTAGTAAAATATTTTATCAATTACTCCATCATCAATATGACATCGAAAGTTTGAATTGTTTTTATAATTAATTCTTATTGTAGCTTTTTATCATGAATATTGACATGCATGACACATTTTCTGTTTGCATAAAAACCATTTCTCGAAGTAAATTGCATAATATTGACATATAAACTGACAACAAATTCATCAAAATAAAAGAATTTGATGCACCTAAATTGAATAAAACAGTGTCAGGCCGTTCTTGAATCAGAAGCTTAACTGCAACTTCTTTAAATTTTTTGGCTTCTTGAGGGATAATTGCAAAAATTGAGGCTTTTACTGGTTGCTTGGTTCTGCGCTCTGAGGTTGCTGCCTTTGCTTGAGCTGAAGGCTTTCCCAAAAACTAAGTTTTTCTTGATTGATCGCCTTCTAAAGACTCTCTGGGCTGTCTCTATCCTTGAATTGTTAGTAGTCAGCTGTCTTTTTCTTATATTTTGAACAATTTATTTGAAGATGCCCTGATTGTCCACATATGTAGTATTTTCCGGAACCAGCCAAACGCTGCCCAAAATGCCTTCTTCCACATTTTCACAAATGAACTTTCTTAACTATGGTTGCTTTTGATTTAATTTTCTTATTTTGGAAGTAGTCTCCTTTGCCAAAATCCTTTCGCTTGCTTGTCTTAGGTTGCCACAGCTGAATGGAGAAATTCAACCCAGTTTCAATTCATCTGACTCTTTCTACTAGCATTGAGAAATTAGTGTTTTCAAATGACACTAAAACAAACCTTAACTGATCTCTGAGCACGCATAGAAATCTATGATATTTTTTCTTTTGGGTATTGACCTAGTGGGGTGCATTCTGAAAGGTGAAGTGGATTCTACCTTATATTGCATTAATGATCCGAACTTTTGAGTCAAATTGAAGAATTTATCCTACAACACTAATTGGCTGAAAGCGGAATAAACAAATCTTTGAAGATTTTAACAAATTCATCCCACTGAATATGTGGAAGAGGTGTCAACTGAATTTTTTTTTTATGCTGCGCCTGCCACTACCTCGTGCATTGCCTTCTAGCATGAAAGTGGCTAACACCATTCTACAGTTTTCCAGACAAATCATACCATCCATTTTTTTTTTTGATTTTCAGTAGCTAATTTCAACAATTGTAGGGTCACTAGCACCCTTGAATGCAGATGACTTGAAAGACCGAAAGATTTTTAAATATTGATCAACTTCTGCCTTAGGTTTAGATATGGGCTTTGTATTAGTGGAAGATCTTTTAATAATAGTCATTTTGTCAACCACTTGTGACGTCAATCGAACGATGCTATTTAGCTCAGTTGCTCTGTTCTAATTATCATTTCTGCCCAAAATATTTTTAGATATCACTTCTTGCTCTGCACTTTGCCAAAGAGATTGGCTCTCAATACTTTCTAATTTTCCCTTAGGCATATTATTCTGTATTGACAATAATTATTATTTAAACACAGTTTTGCATATAATAGTTTTATCGTGCATGCATGATATCTTTAATCATATGAGTTACCCATGCTAGATTCATCAATCTATAACTTTGTATAAATAAAATCATATTTGATCTTACTGCTTCTAAATCTAACACGCTTCTATCACTCTTTTCATCCAATAAGTTTGCTCTTTTATCGCTCTCTGTAACTCCTCAACTTATCGTTTCTTAGAAGTCGGTTAAGGTGTGATAGATGCAGACAATTTGACCCGATTAAATTATCACAAACACTTGTCTTGATTTACAAAATAAGGAACCAGTGGCTGATGAACTAGTCTCACTAAATTGCTATAATCATACTTGATATTATTTATTTCATAATTGAATTCATATTTAGATATACTCAGAATCATGAAAATTATATCATCAAAACATATATATTTATATAGAACTGCTAAATCTATCATAATAAAATATATACCCAAAAGCTTGCACAAGCTTCTAAAACTATAAATGAAAAACTATACAAATCACACTTGACTACTTGCCTCGATACACCTTATCCCTTCTTGAAAGCTAATAACGAAGAGTGAGCAACAACGAGCTCAGCGAAATAATCAACAC